AAGTGAGAAACAAGCCTTACCCAAGGGGGAGTGGATCGGGGTCGGACTCCTGTCGAGCCTTCCTTTTGGCGCAGCCTTGGGCCTTCGGCCACTGGCCACGCTCGATCCTCTTCACATACTCCTCCGCTGTGGGGGTTGCCTGCAACGAACATAGCTTACGAAGCTTGGAGTTCCGCTGGCTGGCGAAAGCACCACAGCGAGCACAGAAAACCATCGCTTCGCTTCTTAAGCATCGCAAGAAAACCATCGCTTCGCTTCTTAAGCAAAAATGAGAAAGCCACGCGGGCCCCTCGCGCCGCGCGTCGACAGCATTCGAGCGCTCTCGCGCGCGTGCTGGGGGGGGGGCGCGATCCATGTCGAATAATGGCGTGCGGGCCACTTTCGCGCGTCGGCCTCGCGCGCGCGTCGAACTCCCTCAATTGCCCTCATTGCCGACGCGCGGGCGTCGTCGTCGTCGTCGTCGTCGTCGTCGTCGTCGGTAATCGTCGCTGGCCTTGCCGTCGTCGTTGTCATCATCGCCGCCAGCGTCGTCGCCATCATCGTCGTGCCACCGTCGTCGACGTCGCCATGATGCCGCGCCCGCCAAAGTTGTCGACTCGCACTGAAGTGCCCGCTGGGAAATGCCCAGAAATCAGCGTCGCCGCGGCCGCGTCGGTCGCGCCAAACTATCTGGCCGCTGCGCGCCCGAACGCGCGCGGGCTAGCGCGACCGCAGAGGTGCGCCAGCCAACTCCCAGCGCTCATCGTTATCGCCGCCGCGTGGGTTTTGCAGACCAAGTTGTGGGTGGGTGGGTGGGATGGTTGTGCGAGCAGTGGAGTGGGCCACACACTGCGCATTAGGATTGCGCCCCCCCTGGCTTATCCGGCCCCCGCTTCGCATCGTAATTGTTCCAGTTTACATCTGATTGCCCCATCCCCCAGCCTAGATCTCAATTCGGATCACCCTGGCCAGACGGACAACGCCCCCCCCCCAAGCGTCCGCTGCAACAAATATAATGCGCGCGCGTTCGTTTATCAAAACTCAGCAGTTTTCAAGAGCCCCCTGCAACAATTAGGAGGAAGTGCGCACGCGGCCGTCGTCGCGTGCGCATGCGCCGAAATCCTTGAAACAATGTGCGTATCTCGCGCGGATTTCAAAACCGAGTGCCCCGAACACAGAGAAACACATGGTTTCGCAACAAGGGCTTTTAATACAAAAACTGTTTGCGCCCTTGCGAACTCTTGAGAAAGGCATGGGTTGTTCAACATGTCCATAACATGCTACCGAGCGGGCCCCTCGCGCGCGCGCCTCAATCGTTCGAGCGCCCATGCGCGCGTTCTGTCGCACAAATCCCTTGCAATGGCCGGGGCGAAGTGCGCGCGCGCGCGTCGTCGCGCGCGCATGCCGAAATCCTTCGGGAACGTTGCGTTCGTCAATATTTCAAAGTTTATGCCCCGAAATTGTATGAAAGCGCATCGTTTCGCAACATCAGTTTTCAGAAAATACATGCGCCCGTGCTCTTGCGAATTATTGTGGAACCATAAGTTTGTCAACGTCGTCATTCAATTCAGCCAAACAGGCCTTCCGCGCCGCATGTCGGAATCAGTGGAACGCCCTTGCGCGCGCTGGGGGGGTGTCAAAGCATACCATGCGGGCCACTCGCGCGGCGACCGCGCGCATGTCGAACTCTTCCGAAAAAACCTTCATCACAGACGCGAGGACGCCGTCATCGTCGTCGGTTTGGTCAGCGACGGCGCCGTCACTGGCTGGCCTTGCCGTCGTCGTAGTCATCATCGCCACTATCATCCGCGCGTCCACCGTTGTCGACGTTGCCATGATGCCGCGCCCGCCAACGTCGCCGACTCTCACCGGAGTTCCCTTTTGGGAAGTGCCCAGCGGTCAGCGCTGCCACGGCCTCGTCGGTCGCGCCGAACTATCTGGCCGCTGCGCGCGCGAGCATGCGCGGGCTAGCGCGGCCGCAGAGATCAACCAGCCAACGCCGAACACTCATCGCAACCGCTGCCGCATGGACTTATGCAAACCGTGGGTGGGTGGGACGATTGCGCGAATAGTGGGGGTGACAATTCGCTGCGAACAGGACGGAATGTTGTTTTATAGAAAAATAGACGTTCTACCACCCTCCCCCCTAGACTTATCAACTCACCGGGAACCGATGCAAAACGCATCGGGTTCTGACCTAATGTTCATCCTATTTATGAATCCATACTATCTCAGCCAAACCAGTATCGACCCCCTCGGTTCCCTTGCAAAATATACTATGCGCGTCCACTCGTTTTTTGTTTCTTCATCGATCAGAAGTGTTCAGAAATTCCTTTCAACAGATGGGGCGAAGTGCACGCGCGCGCGTCGTCGCGCGCGCATGCCGAAATCCTTCAAAAACCTGCGGTGCCAGAAGGGTTTCAGAATCGAGTGTCCAGATTTGTTTTTAAAAATAAGGTTTCGCAACGCGGATGTTCAACAAAAGCGTGCGCGCGTTCTTGCGAATCCTTAAGAGAACCATGCTCAAGAAAATACTACCAAACGGGCGTCGCGCGCGCATGTCGAAATCGAACGCCCTTGCGCGCGTGCTGGGGTGGCACGACCCGTGTCAAATAATACCATGCGAGCCCCTCTCGCGCGTCTGCCGCGCGCGCATTTCGAGTTCCTTCCAAAACCTTGATCACCGACGCGAAGACGCCGTCATCGTCGTCGGCGTGATCGGCATCGGCGCTGTCATCGCCACTATCATCATCATCATCATCATCATCAGCATCATCATCATCAACATCATCAGCATCATCATCATCGCCGTCGTGTCTACAAATGTCGACGTTGCCATGATACCGCGCCCGCCCAAACCGCCGACTCGCATTCAAATGCCCGCTGGGATGTGCCGAGCGGTCAGCACCACCGCGGCCTCGTCGGTCGCGCCGAACTACCTGGCCGCTGGGCGCGCGCTCATGCGCGGGCTGGCGCGGCCGCACAGATGCACCAGCCAGCGTCAAGCACCGATCGCAATCGCCGTCGCATGAAGTTTGCAAACCAAGTTGCGGGTGGGTGGGTGGGATTTCTGCGCGAGCAGTGGAGTGGATAACTCACTGCGAACAGAACTTACTTACGCAACATAGATTGCACCACGTACATGGCTCCACATAGACTGCGCCACATAGGGTGCTCCGCATACGTTGCACAACATATGGGTGCATGAAACAAACTATTTGGGGTCCGCGCTGGCTAACATGTTCAGCTATTCAAGTGATTGTCACAGATCAAGGGCTGTCCATACACGGCAGATTTTACAGCACTTGGGTGGCCGATCGGACGGGCGTTTTCACGAGCGCGCCAGAAAACGCGCTCGACGTCGGCATTGTCAGCAGAGGCGAAAGCGGGAAATTCGAGGGCCTGGGGCCCCTCTGGGGCCCCAGGCCTGGCCGATATCGGCGCGTTCCCCCAAATCGCCGCCGCATCGCCAACTCCCATCGATCGAGTGCGCGCGCGCTCCCGCAAGCGTGCGTGCTCGCTCGCGCGTGCGCGTGCGGGGCGTTGCACATATGGGTGGCCGATCGGACAGGCGTGCCCGCATGCTCGTGGAGAGCACGCGTGCCCAAGCTCGCTGCTCGGCAAGGTTCCTCGTCCTTCTCGTCGTCCCTCCCTGAGATTCAACGTTGCGAACAAAACTGCGCAATCGCAGAAGTCACGACTGGAGCCTTTGACCTCGTTTTCCTGTTGTATTTTCCGAGCCACATTGACCTGTGCTGGTCCCAGGGCCCGAAATTGGGCGAAAACGGCCAACATGAAAAACACAAAACGCCCGTATGTCAGGGTTTCCGTCGTCGCCGCCGACGCCGTCTTCGTCACCAGCTCCACCGCCGCCGCAAGTGTCGTTCTCGACTGATCGCCTGTTCGCGTGGCCACTCGGTGCCCCCCTGATTTTGGATCCGCCGCATTTTTGGCGATACCGCCATTAGGACGGAAATTCCTGCTTTACTTTCAAGCTCTTTTGATGCCGATTTCCGCCTTGCTTTGCCCTCGCTCTTTCCGCGTTAATTTTCGCGGAAACGTCCGCCCTACTGTCCTGAGGAGGAAATATCCGCCCTATCTTTTTCGCATCGTTTGGGGAACATTTCCGACAAAAGTTTGAGTCAGAAAATCAACCGGAGTACGGCGGATCCGGAGTCAGGGCAGGCGGAGAATGATGGAGAAATTGTGCACCGTAGTGTGCGGGCGGCGTTCATCACAGAGAGGGCGGACGGGGGGCTGGAGGGGCGTGGCGGGCCGTCGCGCGCGGTCTGCCAGGCGAGCAGGTTATTGGGCTCCTCCGTGTCCATGTCGGCGTCAGGGCCGTCGCCGTCCTCGTCACCAGCGCCGCCGCCGCCGCAGTCGTCGTCTTCGACGGATCACGCGCTCGAGCTGCCACTCGCTGCCCCCGCGGGGAGCGGGCACGGCGACAGGCGGAGATGTCCAGGGAGCGCCACGGTCGGGGAGAGCGGAAGGAAGAGAGCATGAGGAGGAGGGGGAGGAGGAGGAGGACAAGGAGGAGGAGGAGGAGGAGGAGGAGGAGAAAGAGAGGAGGAGGAGGAGGAGGAGGAGGAGGAGGAAGAGGCAGGAGAGACGGAGAAAATGCAATAAGGAGCGTCCCGACAGAGACCGAAGGTGGCGAGAGATGGCCTCTGGACCCATGAGACCCCGCGTGGTTCCGAGAGGGCATGGCACGCCGGTCGTTGAAAGTTACGACCTGTAATAGTTCTGGGATCGCAGATTCCAAATTATTTCAAGCGCCTTCCTACTTCAAGAGTCGATATGTTTTTGGTGTCTTTTGTCATTATTTGGGCGAGCCCAGACCCAATCTACTCTACCCGCCTTCCTGCTTCATGTTTCCGCGTACTTCTTGCGACTGGCGGGTAGGAAAGCCCCGAAAGGCCTCCCAGCTGACCGTCGTCCTCGTCTGATCGACTGATCTGTTGGCGTTGCCACTCGGTGCCCCGCTCGAGGCCGCCCACCAAGACGCGCGCGGGCGCTTGATGGAGGGCACTGGCGCCGACGACCGCGTGCTCGTGTGGCAGTGCCTGGACGCTGACTTCTGCGCGGGCGTTGGCGACCAGGCTCTTCGCACCTGGACCCGCAGGGGTGATGTCGGGGGGGGATATCGTGACTCCGGATCCGCCGTACTTTGATAAAATGGGACGGGCTTGCACCGGCGCCGCCGATCTTGAGGGGGGACGGCGACGACGGCGGTGGCGGCGGCGACGACGGCGACGATGCTGACACTCTGGAGCCGTTCTTGGGGCTCTTGGGAGCCTCTTAGCTTATGTTGGGGCTTGGGTTGGGGCCAGGGCCGAGGCCAGGGCCGCTTAGAGGCCCATCCAAATCTTTCCCCACATAGATATGCAATATATAAATGTAAATATGACACATGTATGATCGGTATATTATAGACAGCAGATCTAATATATATATATATATATATATATATATATATATAGGTTGCCACATTTATTTGAAGACTTTGAATGTAATTGTGTAAGTATATATAATGGGTTTCATCCCATCCCGCCGCCGTGCCTGGGTTGTGGGTCGGAGGTTACGGGGTGAGGTCACAGTGGAACGGGGAGCTCCCTCCGGGAAATCGGTTTCGGTTTCGTCTTTGTTTCGTGCGTGCGGGCGAGGCGAATCTGCGCGGGCGTGCGAGATGAATCACCCCACCGTCGCTAGGGCGACTTGGATGCAGTGGACCGCCCCTCAGCCCCTGGAGGGCGCGCGGTGGCCCGGGGGTCCCGCCGTTGTGTCCTGTGGTGTCCCGTTAGTGTCCCGTCGGTGTTCCGTCGGCGGTGGGCGGGAGTTGGCCGGGGGCATCCTGCCTTGGTATCGATAGTGAAGGCCATAGTGAGATCGATAATGAGATCGCTAGAATGGGACGGATAGTGAGATCAAAAGTGAGATCGACAGTGAGGTTGATTGTGACATTGGATAGAAAGCGGGAACGATAACGACATTACATCGCAGCGCAGCATCGTCATCACGCGTCGTCGCTAGTCATCATCACACCTATCGCATTTGCCAGCAGTTGGTTCTTCCCCCCCTACCCCCCAACCTCCTTATCGCCCGAAGGGTGGTCGTATGGGTATAGGGCCTGATTATTGGGTGTTCGTTGGGATCTTGTGGGGGGCCCCTGGGGGGCCTCTTGGAGGCAGTTTGAGGCCCCTTATATCGGGCCCGTTTGGGGGCCTCTTGGGGCCTCTTTTTGGCATCTTTGGGGGCCTCTTGGTGTCTCTTGGGGGCCTCTTGGGGCCTCTTGGGCGCCTCTTGGGCCCTCCTGTGGGCCTCTTTGGGCGGAAGGCTCGGTTTTTCGGTTCGTGTTCCCTCTCTTGGGCTCCTTTTGGGGCCGTCTCTGGGCCCTCTTGGGCAGTCTTGTGCGCCTCTTGGGGCACTCTTCGGCCGTCTTGGGGTCCTCTTTGAGGCCTCTTGGGGTGGTCTTGGGGTGGTCTTGGGGGCCTCTTGGGCCGTCTTCGAGCGTCGGAAAGCCGAAAAGGCGAGAATGCCACAATCCTTCCAACATCTTTTGTGGCCTCTTGTGGCCCTCTTGGGAGGCTTCTTGGATGCCTCTTGTGGCGTCTTGGAAGCCTCTTGGGCCATCTTGAGGCCATCTTGGGCGTATTGGAACGATCGTTCGGCGACTCGGGGCCCTCTTGGACTCAAGGGAGGGTTCGGGAGGTTGCTCGGGGGGGGGCACAGCATCCACAGGAGGTGCAGGAAACATGTCAGAACTCACGGGAGCCAGCCCAAAAAGCCCCGGAAAGGCATGGGACACGATTGGCCCAGGCCGCTACAGACTCACAATTCTCGCTGCAGAAACAGCACAGCGTCGACCTCTCAGTGCTGAATGAGCCTTGGGGCTCTCCACCTCGTGCCAGAGACACGGTGGCAGATTTGCCACATGTATTGTAGGAGTATTTGAAATAATACAGTTTTAAACAAAACCATGTTTCATAAAACAAAGCCCACATACACACCAGACAACTTGTTTAACATCTGACGTGCTTTTTTTTTGTAACTGTATAATGGCATAACAACTGTTGTGTAAAACATGCTGCTCCATGAAAACAGCGCTTGCATGAAGCACAACGATTCGTTTTTGGGGAGAGGTTTGTGCTGGTTTATCTTCGCCCCTCGTCAACATCCACGTTGCCAGCGCGCGTGAGGGAGAAAGAGAGACAGAGAGAGAACGTCTGCAAACATATCCTTATTTCGGGGAAGAGAGGACCAATCAAGAACACTCCTTGTCGCACATGGGGTAACGATGCCTTGTGTTGTTGGTTGTGCTTGTTTGGAGCATATATTGTTGTTTTTGTTGGGGGGATGTTTGTTTTTTCGATTACTTGAAGTGACTCCTTATTTCGAGGAGGAGAAGACCAGTCAACAACATCCTTGCTTCAAATTGGGTAACGATAGTTTGGTTTCTTTGTTTGCGGGTTCAGCGGGTGTTGTTTGTTTGTTTGCGGCGTGTGCTTGTTCAAAGTTCAAACCGTCACAACATTCGTGATGCGTGCCGTGCGTAAGTGAGGTCGTGGTGCGTGTCACATGTAACGCGTCGATTCACGTTGCAAATTTGCGTTTGTATCGTTCAACAAAGGCGTCCCCCCCCCAGATGTGTAACGTCCATCCCTAGGTTTATAACGTCCGCCCCAAGGTTTATAGCGTTCCGCCGTTGCCTCTATAACCCCCCAGGTTTGGTCCCCCTCTCTTCCAGTGTCTCCTGCGTTCCCTCCCTGCGCAACTGTCGCCGCTTCCGTGGGGAGGTCCGGAAACCAAGGAGCAGCGGTTGGGGGGAATAGGCTCAAGGGGGGTCGCATCGCATCCCAATTGCCCACTCATCGCCGACAGGTGCCCGGACAGCCCACCCCACCCCGCCCAGGAACGTGCGGATATGCTCTGGGGGGCCTGTCTCCGATCTATCGGCGATGTGCTGACGATTCCAGGTCGATGTTTCCCCACCTGAGCTGGCCCCTCGCAACGTTGCCCCATCAGTCCCTCTTCCTCGTCGTCCTCATCCTCGTCGTGATATTACGTTTCGATGTTCTCCTCCTGATGCCTGCTGCGGTCCTATCCTCAGTCTTCTCGTCGCATGAATTCCCAACCCTCCCGCTGTCGGTCCTCCCTGGTGACCAGAAGTGGGCCTTTCCATTCTATTCATAAAACAGATTGCAAAGTCGACGTGCTTTTTTCAACCTGGGCAGCTTGCCGTCGACGTTGCAGAATGCGTGTCGGGAATGACGACACGGTGCACATCGCGCGCGAAAGGTCGAAATGTTATTCACGCCCGAGCGCCACGCCGACCTGTTTTAAAACCCAGCATCCCGCTCGTGCGCGGAACGCGCTCTTGTTCATCACTGTGTCAGCATCGGGGCCGCGCCCAAGAGAGCGAAGTGCAGTTTTCGCTAAGCCATCTCGCAGGTTGTTACTGGAAGTTGCGCTCCCGCTCTGTCACGGCACCTGTTTCTCGGCCACCGATCTTGTTGGAACCGCGGCTGAGCGCCAGCGAGCGGGATGTCGTTGTCGTCTCAAGCCGCAGACTGTCACACAAGGCTACGTTCCCGCTTGAGTGGCACGCCTTTTGTTTTCTTTCGCCAAGTCAGTCGCCGGGCGGAGGGGGGAGTAGGGGGAAGGGTGCAAGGAGGGCAGAGAAAGGGAGGGGAGGTAGAGGGGGGAAGGGGAAGGGAGGTGGGAGGGAGGACGGCAGTGACAAGGGGGGGAGAAGAGGGCAGACGATGGGCCGATAATCTCAAAGTGTTTTTGTCAGCTTTGCAACATGGTGCTGACCGTGTCCACCATGTGAGAGAGGCGAGCAAAGAGGATCAAGACCAAAAGCCGAAAGCAAGGTCCTGGCAAGCCTGGGGCCAATGTCACGATACCGCTTCGCTCGGGCCGCTTGCGCGCGCGAGGGATAGCGGAGGGAGGAGGGAGCCAGAGGTCGGATGACGCAAGATGGAGGAGGAAGGACCACGAAGGACGGTGAACCAGGGCGAGGAGGAGGAGGAGGAGGAGGAGGAGGAGGAGGGGGTCTGTTGCGAACCTGCTTGGCCCCGAGCCGGGCGGAGGAGCCACCGCCTCGCAGGCTCACTTGTGCGGGCATTGTGCCTGTCGTGCTCGCCAGAGTCTTGGTAGTGGACTGATGCTCGTACTCTTAAGTGCACACGCTTTCTGTTCCCTTGTCTCGTAGCCGTTGTGGCTTCGGGGTCCTGCGCAGAGCCGCATGCACTCGAACGACACCAACTCCGGCGCGGCGCTCAGTATACTATGACAATTTTCTCGATCTCGGTCGCTGTCTTCGTCCGTACTTTAGTTTTGCATCTGGTGGCAAGCCTGCCGCAGAGGCCCGCGGAATCGCCGCCGCGCTGTACACGGCCATGCTGTCGGGCCGCATCCTGTTCGTGCGCTGGAG